AGTGTCTGGAATAAAGTACTCTACAATATTGCTTTTTATTTCACATGTGAATTCTGGTTGTAAAACCCTAACAAAAATAATGTGTTTTCATCATTTAAAATGGCATACTTCTTAAACTCAACATGAGGAACATTATTGGCATCTAAGTAACAAGATTGATTCATTAATTATCTCAAAGTGAAACCGTAATCAAATGTTCGTTCCCCGTACCCTATTAAACATATGTCAGGATTAATATATCAAAAATTGATGCATGTTACTTTCTGGTAGTATAAATAAGAAGATGTGATATGAGTGCCAATGAGACAACTCTCCATCCAAGTCACAATGTATAAAAAGTTAACAATTATAGGTTAAAGTACGGTCTTCGTTATGGAGCCTTGGCTAACACCGAACAGCAAGCTATAAAGGGCCCCAAAATGACTAGTGTAAAACAGGAAAACCATCGATCTAATCTATATAAAAAACGAGAAACGAGAAACACCTATGAACCACACCAACAAATGACATTCACTGAACAACAGGCTCCTGACTTGGGACAGGTGCATAAAAATGGAGCGGTGTCTAATTAATATAATGATAACAGTACTTATTATTAGGTATGATGTTTGAAGGCCTTATTTGCTAATGTGTCGAAATATTGCATTTGGTTTTAGAATTAAATTGACCGACATTCCTATACATGTATAACTTATTAGTATTTTTGATTGTTTCAGATGTCATTTGTGTGTTATATTATAATATGTATAATGCATCATATGCATTTACAACCATTGTAATGTTTGGACAAACTAGAGACAAATAAGGGATGGAGTTCATACTGGAGTCAGCAGACGATTTTAAAAGGAAAACAAAAGATAAAAATGGGAAAACTACATAAAAAATACAATTGAACAAGACATTGACCTGACAGCACATTTAGCAATAGCAAAACAATGCATATATACGTCCGAAGTTCAAGAACTATTTTTCAAACAGCGTCAAGTGGACAATAAAACATAGCATCAATGAAACTAAGTTTTCCGTTTATTTTTCTGTCAGTTAAGTATGAGAACAACATGTGGAAAGGGCAGATCAATTTTAAGAAATATATTTTATAATATTGCTCGAGAATACTTTTGCTGGTTATTGAACAGCGATTTTGATCTTAGCTAAGAAAACAAGCTTTTTAGGACGAAACATAATAAGATGAATATACCTCTGACACACGTTAAACAGGTTCGTTGCTACCCATAAAGAAATATTAACTACCTGAAAAAAATATTCATGGCACTGAAGACTTTATGAGAGTTAATGGACCGAAAGGGCGGTCATATCCAAATGGTTTTTCTGAAATAGACTCGGACTTCTCTTAAACTGAGTTTTACTGTGCGTACTGTTGTACGTATGCTTTTTCTACATTGGCTAGAGGTATAGGGGGAGGGTTGAGATCTCAAAAAACATGTTTAACCCCGCCGCATTTTTGCGCCTGTCCCAAGTCAGGAGCCTCTGGCCTTTGTTAGTCTTGTATCATTTTTAATTTTAGTTTCTTGTGTATAGTTTGGAGTTTAGTATGACGTCCATTATCACTGAACTAGTATACATATTTGTTTAGGGGCCAGCTGAAGGACGCCTCCGGGTGCGGGAGTTTCTCGCTGCATTGAAGACCTATTGGTGGCCTTCGGCTGTTGTCTGCTCTATGGTCGGGTTGTTGTCTCTTTGACACATTCCCCATTTCCATTCTCAATTTTATTGTCATAAACCGTTTTCCTTTTAATATGTTTGATAATTTTATCGGCAGTTACTGGCTTCCCGCAGAATTTGCAATTAACTGTATATCAATAGGAAATAAATTTTAGTCTTAATAACAACTACTGAACAACTGAACATAGTCCGAAGCTTCTACAGTAGATTCATAAATATTAATGGCCAGGAATGAAGATAAAACAACATTTGTTGGGTGATTGGTTTCAAAAGGAGCTGATTAGTTTCTGATATTCCTTTTTATAGTTAATCGTTTAGTTCAATAATATCATATGTAAGCATTGAAATTCAACAGGGAAATAAAAGCGTCAAATAGTAGACAAACATGCCACCCAAATCAAAGCTAATTCTTATAATGCCTCGACTCAACACCAGCCAAAAATCGGTTCATCTCGGCATCTTTTAAGTGAACTACAAAAAGTATATTTGTCATTTTAACTGGTTGTCTTACAATAATTATAGAACGTACTATACATACTTGTACAAAACTATATTCAAATATTGGAATTAATTATATTTGTAGAGTTTTAAAATCTCGATGGATGTTTCAGGTCTATTACGTGTTAGTGGTGGTCATTTCAATTCCGTAAACTGTTATGACTTTTCACTAAATGCAATCCTTATTTAAATAAAAGGTTCCTTGGAAATCGTGTGCACTGAACAAAAAATGTAATAACAACCTCACGAATCCCAAGGTAAATTAAAAAAGGGGGAAATCCATATAAACTGACAAAACCAAACGCTTGACTATAATCAACCATGAGAGCGAATAGAAACATTTATTAAATTCAAGACTTGGTACCGGCAAATCCCAAAGAAATTGTTGTGTTAAACCTGGTTTTATATCTAGCTCAACCTTCCAGTTGTACGACAGTTGTATGTAGTCCTTTTATATTGACACATTGTATGCGCAATCAAAACAGATATAATAATTTAAGGTGACAATAATTTGGATTAAGCAGATAAACTTGTGTAAACGTAAATCATACATTGTATATATGCAACATAACTATATCAAAATATACAAACAAACAAAAAAACCAATTAGATCTATAAGAAAAACGCCAACAAAAACGTTATTGTAGTTGATAGTATAAATACCGATAATTTAGTTCACTATAGAAAATCATAATGACATATGTACACTTTGCCGATCAAGTAAAAGGTAATCTACATATGAATAGAAGGATACTATTCAAATAACACTATTTTCTTGCGTCTGGAGCGCACCTCCGGACCTAACCGCATCGTAAACGCCCAACCCCAACAACCCGGAAGCTTAATGAACAAATTCCCGAGCCACGCAAAGAGTCATATGATCAAAAGGGACATAAAAGTACACAGACATATTAGGGACAACTATGACAGTAATACATGACGTCAGAATCTATAATGCAAGGCCATCCATTAATATGTGTGCAGTTGACATTGAATATTTATCTTTAATGTCTTGGTACCTTTTTGGTAAATGGATGAGAAGTGCTTTGATAAATCCAGGACTGAATATTTTTTTTTGCTCTACCACAAATGACGTTTCATAAAGTCTGAGTAGCAACACAAAGCTCTTGAATATCGTATTACATATGTACAATTAAATGTACTTTCTTTGTTTTTCTTGATTTTTACAAGATTTTGATAAACATATTTCAGAGGACAGTGATTTAAGAAATGTTCAGAAGTTCTTTACAGTTCCCAATAATCCACACATGGTTAATGTCAATACGAGAGTAAACAGTATCTTAGTATTTCTGTTATCCCTGTTTCATTGCGCATAACATGTTGGTCAGTCTAAAGGACAATTGCTTTGTAGAACATGCCAGTAATGAGCTGTTGTTTGCACGGAGTTTTGGGAAGTGTTGGTATCCAACACAAACAAGGTAAGACCTCAGATTTGTTGCTACATGGAGCAATCAATGAGTCAATGAAAGAATTGAGATCTGCCAAGATATTATCCTTATCTGGAGTTATGTTTTTGTACTTGATATGACCAAAGTGTTCATTTATTTCTTTTTCTTCGATAAGACACTCGTAATGACAGATACATGCATCTATCGTGAAGAGAGTTTAGACATTTACAGCTTATTTGTCTGACTTCGTTCGAACATATACAAAGTTTGTCAACTCGTACATTTGACTTTGTATCAAATACCTAATTGTGTTCCCCATTCTGACAAAGTGTCTAAATCAAACATTTCTCGTTTTGCTCATGCGCTGATGTAATCCACAACGCAATTCTTTTCTCATCTTTAAGTTATGATTCCCATTGATTTGTTGGCTCTTTCTAAATTTAGGACCATGAGATATCATCTCCCGGAGATGATCATTTGAATTACGTTTAGATCGCCAGTAATTGCATGGCCAGAGGGGCTGTGAATATACGAACTTCATGGTCTTGCATTGCTTGTTCAGTTCATTGGTTTTGATGAAACTGTAGCAGACAATAAAAAAAGACTGATTTGAAAATAAAGTGGAATTTTGTATATATCTCACGCATAATTATTTTGAGAGACTATCCGCTTGACAAAGGATGTATAGATGTATTTTCTCCAATATGCAGACTGGCATGCATAATTTCATGTAGCTCTTTTTCGTCTTTTTGAAACATGTAAGATTAGAACCATAACACGACGAAAATATGAAAGTCTTTTCAAGATAGTTTTCAAATCTAGGAATAGATTCTCTTTTCATCACAAAGAATCGATTCCTAAATTAGAATACTATCTTAGAAGGACTTTCTTATTTTCATCATGTAATGGTTACAATCTTACTAGTTTAGAATTACTATAAAATAGCATTATAAAATTATACGGACCAGTGTGGATACTTGAGAAAATACATCTATACATCCTTTGTCAAGCGCATAATCTCTTAAAATAAATATACGTGAGATGTGTACTGACAAAACTACACTTTTCGTGAACTCAACAAACCATACTTGTCAGGTGTCCTGGAAAAATAACACTTAACACAATACGCTTGTCAAGTGCACAAAATATCCACACGTGTCTTGTGTACTGAAACACCACTTTTGCTACACACACATAGCAAACCACATTTGAGCATTAAAAAATATATATTTGCCATGTACACTGAACAATCCTTATGTCTTGTTTACAAAAAACAACTACATATATCTTGAATAATAAACCATCATTATTCAATATCGTCACGTGCATTGAAGAAAACACGTGTTTTGTACACTGACATCGGCATCATATGTAAACATATACTTTTTTGGGTAAAGAAATAGACAAACCTATAGATAACGATCACTATTAATAATAAATGACCATATCATTAAAAAAGTATAACAAAAATACCGAACCCAAAGTCAAATTCAAAAAAGGGATGTCCATGAAAACTGATAAAATCAAACGCTATCAACAACGGAACAAGTGAAAAACAATTGCCATATTCCTTGAAAATTTGACAAGAAAGTTCGTTGGACTCAATTTATCTGCATATTATAATGTTACATGGCTCATTTGGTATGTTTGTGTTTTTTCTTTCCACAGTGACTCTTAGTAGTTTTCGTTGGTTCTGTGGTCGTTCTTGCCTCAGTTCTGGTTGTTGTTTGTTCGGTTGTGGTAGTCGGGCTTTCAGTCGTTGTTACTGGGCAGCCCTGTGGAATGATATCATTCATATTACAAGCAGTACCAGGTGGAGAGGTACATGTTGATGGTCTATTGCAAGCAAGAGAACTTACGGGAGGTGCTGAAAGTATATTCGAAAGATATATAAAATCTGCAATAGTGCTATATTTGAAATCATGTGTGTGTTTAATCATACGAGAGTCTACAGTGACATTATTCAATAAAAAGTTATATGGATGTATTGATCGGTTAATGGCTGACATCCAGTGACAAGTACACTCATTTCAGGAAACCAATGTAGTTGTTAATATATGAATAAGAAAATTATGTGTACAATACATACACATGGGATTCTTGTTACCCGGAAACGCCTTGTGTTTATCGGATTGGTAGCAATAACCAATTTACAAATCTTTGGATTGACCCGACAGGAGATCGAACACACCAGAGTTTTTCCTGACGACATTCGATGTGGCTTAATGCAAAATAACAATAACGATAGCATAATTATTACATGAATAATGATAATATTTATAATGATAATTATATAATAACACATACAAAAAATACATATAGCATTTTCTATTTCATAACGAAATTATAATTAACTCTTTTTATAAACATTTTTTTTTATTAAACGATTTATATACTTACATGTTGGATATGACCCTGATACTGCAAAAGAAGTCAGATGAATTATCAGAAGGCTTGAATACTACATCTAATTTTTTTTATTAAGTTTTTTGTGACGTCATTGAACTTAAGACTAAAGGTTATTTATATGTATGTACTCTTTTCTGATTGATAAACAAACAATTATTTTCTAGACTAGTTGTATACTTTCTAGATGCATGTTAACAGTTTATGACAAAAAAATGAGACGAAAAAGATCAAACGGACAACAAAAACTTACAATAACATGTTTAAAAAAATCCAAATGACATTAAAAAAAAACATAAAAACCCAAAAATGACAGACAAAAAAATAAACAGCTGCGCCATGAGCGCATGATACGCCCGACGTCTTGTGTGTGAGGTTTTATGCAATAATAATAAATTGTTTCTGAGATACGGCGCGACATGTGAAAAACCCCCTTTTTTATAAAAAAATCAATAACTCTAAAATGAAATTTTGAATCATCACCAAAAAGTATACAGATCTTTAGATTAATATAATTAAGAAGTGTGTTAAGTTTTAAGCAATAATCATAAATCGTTTTTGAGATACGGCGAGACATGTGAACCCCCCTTTTTTTGCAAAAAAATCAAAAAATCAATAACTCTAAAATAAACTTTTGAATCATCACTAAAAAGTATACAGATCTTTAGATTAATATAATTATGAAGTGTGTAAAGTTTTAAGCAATAGTCATCAATCGTTTTTGAGATACGGCGCGACATGTGAAAACTCCCCCCCCCTTTTTTTTTACAAAAAAACTCAATAACTCTAAAATAAAATTTTGAATCACCAAAAAGTATACAGATCTTTAGATTAATATAACTCAAAAGTGTGTAAAGTTTTAAGCAATAATCATAAATCGTTTTTGAGATACGGCGCGACATGTGAAAAAAACACCCCCTGTTTTAGTTACAAAGTCCCGTAACTCAAAAAGTTTTAATCTTGTTTTCACCAAAAAGTATACAGATCGTTTGACCATCATAAGAAACAACTATGTAAAGTTTCATGAAATTTGGATAAGTCGTTCTCAAGTTACGGTGCGACATGTGGACGCCGGACAGACGGACAGACAGACAGACAGACAGACAGACGGACGCCGGACATTTGTATACCATAATACGTCCCGTCAAAATTTTGACAGGCGTTTAAAAACGAAAAAAAAAAACCAAAATGACTTAAAACCGTAAAGTTTATCTTTACTTCATCTGTAAGATCTTATTTAATTGAATGTTTGAAGAAATTTAACAAGGTTGTTCTTACCTACAGCTTCCAAAACTCTCCCTGGGACACAAATGTCACATATATCTGTCAATTCTCCTGCCTGGTTGTTAAAGGTTTGGCTAACTGAAAGAGTATCAATACTTTGCAAAAACTCTTTAAAACTATATTTGTGTAAATGACCTTGAAGAATGTTAATCACGAAATACACATCGAATCAACAAAATCATATATTTTGATTGTTTTTTTTTCGTTTTTCCCATACCTAGCATCTCGTATTGTCAGTTCTTCATGAGTATTATTCACCAAATAGAAATTTTCGGACTTGCAACATAACCTATTCACCACTAATACTTAACGCAAGTATGTATCTGACGTTAACTGAATCTGTAATTGGCGAATGAACTTGGTTCAAATTGGATTGTCAACGGTTAAATAGATGAAATCTCTTAACATTACAAATACACGGTATGTATGTAAGCGTAATATAGGTCAGATACGTAGGTAAAGTATCCCGTCCGGACATCTTTTTTAAAAAATCAGTTGACATTAGTCCTCACTTGAAAGTATCATTTTATGAATTCGTACATGAAAATGGTAATTTTTGTGCTTTATACATGTTATACCAAAAATTGCTTAAACATCCTTCGACAAATGTTATCTTATATTCTTCCCATTGGGTTATTCAAGCCTACTGTTTTAATTCCGGGTGTTAATGGATAACGTTTAACCATAAAACACTGTAAAGTATACATGTATGTCTGTTTTGTGAAAAGAGAAATTATCAAATTCCAATCTAACGCATACTGGTTATTATTTTGTTTTTTCTAGCAAGAACCAGAATAAAGGAATATTAAATGAGATGTATTTTGCTTTGTTTTTGTGATCGCTTATTAGTGCTATGTATTACTGTTCGGGTTCTACATTGCATTCTGCTACTGATAATAATATGATCGGTACACATTTTACTGCAACAGATGCGGTTTTCTTGATCATAAAGCTCTTTACGTGTTCATGTACCTAGACATCCTTGGCAATAATCATGTTAAGTTTGAGTGTTCTCGAATAAGGTATGGTTGGTTATCTCGTTTGAGTAATGTAAATTTTTGTCATGCCTGGTCTTTTTATGGCTGAATTTACCATTTATACTATATGTGATTTGTGCATCGTTGGAGGTCGTACGATGAATTGCTGGTGCTTGAAATAACATTTTTAGACTGGATAGTTGGCTCATTGGCAAAGATTCCACATCTCCTCACTTTTATATCAAGCAAATGACAACATTCAACTGATATAAAAAGAGAAAACCTACTTAATTTTATTGTCATGTATGCCCTACTGCGGTTTATCATTTTAGTATTTTGTTGATATGACAGAAAAACACAACACAATGCTCCGCAGGGCGCAGCTTGATACGACCGCAGAGGTCGAACCCTGACGGTTGGTGTAAGTATAAACACTACATTCAAGCTTGATACAGCTCTGAATTCGGGTTGTGATTAAATATTTGACACATTATAGGTTTCCTACACAGAATAATTGTGGTCAAAGAACTGAAAAATTTGAAATTGGACTTTTACCTTTTGTGGTCCAATATTCAAAATCTGAATACACGGTTATATTCAGCATATCATATAACCCTCAGAAATTTAATTTTTGAAGAAATCAAACAAACTTTAATTTTGGACCCTTTGGACCTCAATGTGGACCAATTTGATAACGGGCCCCTAAAAACCAAAATCTAAATATAAGGTTAGATCAGCATATCAAAAAATCCCATACATTCAATTTTTGGACTCCAATTTGAACAGATTCGACTCGGAATTTGGGTTGTGATATATAAATATAGCTTTGTGAAAAGTAATTTACACATAATAACAAACAATCCTATCACGAAGTTCTCTGAAAAATTACCCCAAAAAATGAGAAAAAATTTTTTTTTTCAAAATATCTTTCCTAATTGATACAGTCCTACAGTGAAATCTTTCCAGAAATTGCATCAAAATGATGATGGATTTAACATTAGCTTATCACCCACACCACTTAGAAAACACAAAATGTTCTAATAAATTTGTCACGCCAATATTAAGTGTGATAGTTGATGAATACCACATGTTTCTTTTTTATGATAGGTGGTAATTGCTGCATGAATGAATTAATGATCAATACACTACACTTATCCACATTCAACAAATGTGAATATTAAGTTAATTACAAATGTGTATATGTAATACAAATTTTGTGTAGTTTTTATAAGATGACAAATATTTTTTTTTTAGATTTTAATATGTAATATCCATTATTAGTTATAAAAATGTTAAAATAAACAAAATTTCAGTTAACTTCCTTGTTCCTGACCTGGAGTGGTTATAATCAATATTAACAAACATCTGTATGTTAATTAATATATCATATGTCCCTTTATCAGCATGAATTGACAGATTTGCAGCTCTACTTACCCATTTTATAATCTAATAATGAACAGTAAATTTCAAACTATATACATAATTTCTTCTCTAAAATTAGATAATCATATGATGCTATATATATTTTTAACTATGACTCTATTTATAATTTCTATTAATTATGCAATACAGGGATGATTAAATATTTGAGATATCATAGTTTCTGACACAGAGTGAATGTGGTCTAAGTACATAAGGGCATACGATAAAGTTACAAGGGAGGTAATGACGTTGCTAACGTAAAATGTTATTTTCGCGACGTCAAACTGTGCCATATCGGGAAAAGATGCATTTTTCGACTGATTTTTATCATTCAGACTGGTTTAAACGAGTTCATGGACCGCTCTTTTTTAAAATGACATTTGGTTTGATTACGTATGAAGATTATTTGTACTAATTGTTATGAAAAAGTCATAGATGATTTTTTTTTAAATTAGATAAATATACAGCAAAAAATGCCGTTTTTTTCTAAAATCATGAAACTTTGATAAAAATCAATTATTTCCAAAGAATTGTTAAACAAATTTTGAGCATACTTATGTAAAGAAGATTTTCCAAATGTTTTTACAAAAATCCGCTTTTGTTTATCTTATGAAACAAAAAAGTTAGATATGTCTATCCAAAGGATAAAAATGTCCAAAAAAACGAAATTTTGAGTAAATGTCTAAAATTATGACTCCATTTATCTCTTAAAGTAGCACATGAAGGTATATTATTTTATTACATATTTGAATTGACTGGGTGAAAAATAGCTTGTATGCAAGTTTTTGTAAAAAAAATCACCGTGGGATCAAAACTGTATCGTATACCCTTAAATGATTTGAAATTGGACATTTACCAATTATGGTCCAATATCAGAAATCAAAATACATGGTTGGAATCAGCAAATCAAAGAAACCCAAGAATTCATTTTTTGATGAAATAGAAAAAAAGTTTAATTTTGGACCCTTTGGACCTTAATGTGGACAAATTAGAAAACGGGACCAAAATTCTAAAATCTAAATACACTGATAGATTCAGTATATCAAAGAACCCCTTAAACATTGTATTCAATTTTTGATGAAATCAAACAAAGTTTAAATCTAGACCCCAATTCAGACCATCTTGAAAACTGTGCCCAATATCAAAAATATAGTTATATGCTTAGATTAAGCATATCAAATAACCTCAAGAATTCAATTTTTGTTAATTTCAAACTAAGTCTAATTTGGACCTTAATGTGGACCAGTTTAAAAAATGGCCCAAAATCAAAAATCTTAAATACTGTTAATTTGGGCACATCAAAGAACACAAATAATTCAATTTTTGATAAAATCAAACAAAATTTAATTTTGGACCCAAATTTGGACCAACTTAAATACTGTGCCAAAAATTAAAAAAAAAAATGAATACATGCTTAGATTCAGCATTTCAAAAAACCGCTTTAGTTTACTTTTGGACCCTTTGGACCTTAATGCGGACCAATTCTGAAGACAGACCCAAAAATCCAAATTTTAAATACCTGGTTAGATTCAGCATATTAAAGAACTCCAAGAATTCAAAACTTTGAAATAAACCCCATGGAAATTGGTCAAGAAATAACCAATTTATAGAAAGGATTACAAAAATATTGTTTTTGGCACCATTTTCTTAACCTTTAGGGTCATTACCCCTAAAATCGATCTCAACATTACTTTTATGGTATAAAAACCTTGTGGTACAATTTAATAGACTTATACACAAGTTATTGTCCGGAAACCAGAAAATCCTAGCTTTTTTTGCTCTTTTTTTGGCCTCTAATTCCTAAACAGTTTGGGCCATGACCCCTCAAATCAATCCCAACCTTCCTTTTGAGGTATGGAACCTTGTGGTAAAATTTCATTGAGATCCATAGTCTTATACACCAAGTTATTGTCCTGAAACAAGAAAAATTGCTTGTTTTGGCCCCTTATTACTAAACAGCTATATCAATTACCCCGAAAATCAATCAACACCTTTCTATTGTGGTATGGAAACTTGTGCTAAAATTTCATAGAGATTCATACACTTATACTAAGGTTATTGTCTGCGAACCAGATAAATGGTTGTATTTTGTCACTTTTTTGCCCCTAATTTAAAATCAGCCACAACAATAACCCCAAAATCAATCCCAACCTTCCTACTGTGGTATGAAACCTTGTGCTAAAATATCAAAGAGATCCATACACTTATACCCAAGATATTGTCTGTGAACCATAAAATGCTTCTTTTTGCTCTTTTTTGGGCTCCTAATTACAAAACAGCTACGACAACAACCCGCAAAATTAATCCCAACAGTCCAATTGCGGTATGGAATCTTGTGCTAAAATTTAATACAGATCAATACATTTATACTCAAGTTATTGTCTGCAAACCAATTTTTTGTCTATGAAACAGTAAAAATGCTTCTTTTTGGACCATTTTTGGCCCCTAATTACAAAATGGCTACGGCAATAGCCCACAAAATCAATCCCAACCTTCCTATAGTGGTATGGAAGCTTGTGCATAAACTTCATAGAGATCTATACACTTATACTTAAGTTATTGTCTGCGAACCAAAATGTCTTCGGACGCCGACGCAGACATCGCCATAACATAATTATGATAATACGAACGCAATAAATTTTGCGGTCGTTTAAAAAGTATTATCAAAACATGTGTTGGTATAAAAAAAAACCAAATGTTACAAGTAATCTGAAGTTGTTTTAGAATCTTATAATATATTTAGATGACAACATATGAAAACGTACCTCCTCCTTGTTCAAATTGAAACTTCAGAGGACTTTCAAGATCATAAAAGATCGAGTAACATTGAACTATGTCAGTATCCTTTTTCCTGAAAAATTGTAAATAACATTATTTTTTCTTGTTCAAAATGTCAATAACATGAACATCTAAAATTGATTTTATTACACATTTGTTTTATTATTTTCATCACTTTTGAAATGATAGAAACAGTAATAACAATCAATATTCATCATTTTTTTATCTTTAATTGATGAACAATAAACTACCATTATAAATTGTTTACCATTTTCATCCCTTAAAAGAAAAGTTCAGATGTAAATATAGTAAATATGTTTTAGAACATCAAAAGCTAACAGAGAGTATTAAGAGACAGATACAACTCGGTTTATTTTGAATAATAGTTTCCTCCTTCGAGCATGGTTGTTTTTGTTATATCGTTATAGGAAGAAGACATTAGAAAATACATGTACACCTAGGGGCAATAAATTCTATTAACCTAGAAAAACAATTGCAAGAATTATGACATACTCTGCGAAATATTTCGTGAACTGTCTACTTTTGTTTTTTTCATTTTGTATCGTTTGGTAATGATATCGACCGGTTCTCTTGTCTTCCATTTTGTTTAAAGAATATGCATTCCCCGTGTATCTTTTAATTGTTTCTATACCTATATTCAATCAATAAAAAAAGTTCAAATACAAAAATGTACAACTTTGTGTTGCATATTATTTTACGTTTTGTCAACAGAAATATTCGATAATGAAGTTAGTCTTTTAAAAGATTGATACATCAATTAAAAACTGTCAGATCTTCACATGACTATGCTCTGTAATTAATCAATATTCATCATAATTTAAATAAAGTCACAACTATTTGGTTTAGGACATCAAACGTCTTATATATAATGCACATCTGCCGAAATAGTTTCATTGTTTTATCTTTGCTATTAAAATTCAGATATGAGCCTTTGGCTTACACGAAAACAATTTAAAAATTTCAAGAAGTGTAAGACATCAATTTGGGTAAAAATATTAAGGGAAGGATTCGTTTTATTTCTAACGTTGTTTTAAAAACTATACCAAGGATGTTTTAAGGTCAAATATTCAATTTGAACTTGTTTCTCCTGTCATGGTGACAGGGCAACTGACATTTTTGTCTTAAAATATAAAAGATAATAATCCAAACGACAAATAAATAACCCCAATTCAAGAAAGAAATTTAATCTAAAGGACCGTTAGTTTAAACAATAAGAAATTGGAAATAAGGTATGATTTCCAATTGAACTACTCTCATTATATTAGACAATACAGTCCAATTGACTTAGATTTACGCATTTATAGTTCAATTATATGTGCATAGTAACATTAAAACTTAGAAGTAGCACAAATGTCAAAGTACTGAGAAATTTTACCGGTTTTTTTTTATAATTTCAGAGGCCAGATGACTTAAATTTAATAACAGCATCAAAGGCAAGGAACACAAAATATAAATTATTTATATACCTGACAATTAGAAAGCGCTCTGTTATTTGATAACACTGCAGCTGCGCTCTGCCAGAATTCTCCACTAAAATAGCTGTTTGACCATCACCACTAAAACTGAATCTAGCTACATATATTCTTTTGAAGTTATATATCTGAAATGATTTATTGCGCCATGGACACGGAAATTTGCAGGGAAATTCAGTCATACCTGGAATATGAAGTTTATAATTCAGAAAAATAGAATATATGAACATGGGGAAAGCTTTCAATCTACTTTTATTTTTATTTGTATTCTCTGGCTGAAATTTGCTAGCACATCGCATTGAGGATACTATATTTGACTTTCTATATACTTTGTGTTTAACGACAGATAAATGTAAACTTTGTTAGACCTCAGTATAAAATATCGAATATAGTTGTTTAATCTCGCCGTTGCAAATGAGTTTGTAATACATCAGCATGATAGGAATAAGGAATGTACGCCATCTCAACAACAAAATGTGTACATGTTGAAACGAATGCATGATCGTACATTTAAATTGCTCTTTATATAGTTCGTGTGCCCGACGCGCTTGTTTTAGATTGACTTTCATTAAAAAGGCTCAAACCTACATATTTGACAGCCAGAGATGTAAAAATACGTAGGAATGGCAGAAGCGTTTTGACCAAACAAAATCTTAAAATAATAGCCAAATTCTTCTAAGGTCAAATTTGCCTGAGGGAGTTTGAATCTTAGTTATTGAAAGTATAAATAAGAGCACAAGCGGACATAAATATAGCCTTGTCAGACATCTATGTTAAAACTGAAATAGCCCATAGCAGACTGAGGACCACCTCCGGGTG